TTACATGCATGAAGTGTGTATTTATGTTCAGAAAAATAATTAGAGTGAGGTGCACATATTCGCCGGGGACACAATTTCGCCGTTTTATGATTTTGAAGTGTAAAAACTTCAAAGAATGGATGAAATGGAAGAAATATGCCGGTAAATTATATTTTTATAACAAATATGATTATTTTTTAAACTTGGACAAAATTTTGGCACTTACCGCAAAGGACCAAAAAAACGGACAACGTTTTGGTAAATATTGTTTTAAGCTGCAGTTATGTGGTTTTAAATAGATGTGTAAAAATGGCGAATATGTGTCCCCCTTTGACGAAACATCAGGAAATTTCAAATTGCCTTTAATCTAACTTTTCAGAAGAATTTTTTTCAAAGAAACACGTTTTCAAGCTAAGAATATTTTTCTTTTGATGTTATCTTCATATAGAAATATCAGTATACTTCAAAAACATAAAGACCTGAACATAAACTGCAGAAAACATGGAAAATTATGGCGAAAATGAGCACCCCACTCTATTGACTTAGCACTAAAAAGGTGTATTGAAATAGGATCAAACAGGCCTAGTTTTTTGTCGAAATAGAAGACAAAATATAAGAAATTATATCAGGATGTTCACATAAAAAAAAAAAAAAAAACGAGTAAAAGACTTCTTAAGTTTGTAAAACTAACATGAACAACAGCAATTCGTAGACGATTCGAAAAGGACCCTCCATCTCTGACTTGTAGTGGAAATCGTCTGTTTCTATAACTTTAAGACTTTTTGCAAGTGGCTTGTAGAACAATATTTTCTCTGCTGTAGTCTCAAAATCTTGCCGCCCTCTTGCTGAGTTTTTTTTTTCGTGCATTGACGTTTCATATCTGTGACGTTGCAAAACTTGTGCCTCTCTGTATAGGTTGGTTCCCTCCGTAAAATATACAAATATTAACGGTCGGTATGAGCTAATGATGGCCTTGAACTTGAACGTTTCGGTTCCCGGTTTGTCGAACGTCCACATACGGTACCAGTTGAAAATGGCGTTAAACGTCAGATTGAAGTCTGGGTTGCGTTCAATATCGTAGCGGCCTCATAGGGCTACATAGATTTATGACTATTGAACGTGTAGCTAGCCTAGCTGCTACATAGATATTGATAGCAGCTAGGCTAGCTACTCGTTCAGTAGGCAAAAATCTACGTAGCACTATGTAGCTGCTACGATATTGAATGCAACCCTGTTCTTGGACTTGATGGAAACAAATATACCAAACTCATTGATTCTTGATTTAATAACAGGGGGAAACATGCATATAAACAGCAAAGAAAAATAGGTTGTCGACTGTTTTCCTCATTCCATAATGCATATCATAATCCATGATTCATGAACCAATCATTTCGTAAACTTAAGCTTCAGGCTTGTGGATTCAAAAGTTTATAGTGAAGACTGCAACATTAGGCTGTTGTTTGATATAAATGAGTGGGTGGGTCGTTTCCTAAATCGCTGTTATTTTGAAACGCTCTCCCTTTTATTTCTTAGATGACACATTCCACGTTTTAAAAAATAATTAAAAAAATCTCTGTGCTCCTATTAACTGGTGTATTGTAGGTTTTTTATTCCCAAAAATTATAAAATTATGAAGCCTATTCTTGTTTTGAAGCATCCCAACTAGACAATTATAAAGTACATGAAACTTCCAATATTATTACAGTGCATTATTTTTTATTAATAAAGTGAAGCTAGATCATGATTTTCTTAATATAGGGTTGTTTGTCACATACTGTTTCTAAAGTTTGCATAAATGGCCAAAATTATCAGAAAATAATCAATAAAGGCATTGCTATTTATTTTCTTCCTACTGTTAGACTCGCTATGGCAAAATTGGGATGTCCCTACTCACCATGAACAACAATATTGAGTCCATTGATTTGCCTATAAAATTCACGATGAGTACCAAGTGTTACATTCAATTTTTACTTTTACTGCACATTAACCAATATCAATTATTTAATATACATGATTGGGGACTGGGTTTTAAGCTAACAGTTACCTTTGTAGCTATTACACCCAAATTTTGTCCTGATACTCTTGGCATTAACAATAATTGTTATTGAAGTTATGTGCATTAAACCAGAGATGAATTCATGAATAGGAAATCAATTGCAACTAGTTAAGTTGAAAATTACTTGGGGCCAATGGCTCTTTCATCACGGGTGCAATATTGTCTCATTGTCATAGATTAGCAAATAATTGCGGTTTTCACCTCATTTCTCTTTTAATCACCTTTCTAATATATCAATAACAATTTCACCTTAAAATAAATCATCAAAAAAATTATATTGTTTTTCCTTGTTCTATTTAGTGGTCATCCCATTGGTAGCTGCACATGTACTGTGCATGTTTTTATTGTTTGTTCTAGTATTATCACACATGGTGCAGATCTGCAAAAGAGGAGGTGTGTGTGCGAACATAAAACCTTAGTTTGTGTCTATACCAAGTGAGGCTTTCTGGACCTTAAGTTGTTTGTCATTGTTTGTACTGTATCATATTTTTTTTCTTAAGTCTGGTATACGTTGTTGAAATTTAAATCCTATCAAAAAGGGTTTTTCACCAAATTTACCATTTTTTCACATAAAATAAGGTTTTACCACACGTTTGACCCCTGGGAACAATTCAGGATGACCTTAATACATTGTACCTATAAATCGGTTTTGTTAAATTCCAGTGCAAGAAGATATTTCTCAAAATTTGAGGTTTTAAACAAGAAGTAAGTTTATACCAATTTTATTTTAAATTGGTTTTCTTATTTTTGAAATACTTATTTACACTTACATATCAATCCTTGTTGAAATCTTAGCATAAGAAGACAATTTCACTGTATCCTTCAATTTAACTGCAAATCTTGAACCAAGATTACATGGAAAAGCATATTATACATTTTACATAGATCTCGAGTTTTGTTGTAATTGAAGCAAAAAGTTGTTTGTTCAAACCTGTAAAATTTTTAACAAACATATATTTTTACTCCAATCTTTTCCCAATTTTTATAATAATCAATCTAGAATGTGACACTTTTGGATAGCGTAGTTTACACCTTTATATATTTTGGTAGAAAACTTAGCACAAAAAAGATGCTTTTCAAAATTTCTGATTTTTAACACAAGACATCTTCGTTAGCCAAGGGTTACGATCCTGTCTGAGGGGACTGGATCGTAGGCCTTGGCTAGCCAAGATGAACAGAAGAGTACAGACACTGAAATGTCTTGCCTGCTTTACTTACTATTGTGACTGAATTCATGTTGAAATTTGAAAATATAAAAATAAGATGTGATATGATTGCCAATGAGACAACTCTCCACAAGAGACCAAATTACTCTGATGGACATGTATACCTTGCAAGGAATCAATATACCAAATACAGTTAGTTACTTAGTATCCTATTACTCATAATAATGGAAATTCAAACAACAAAAAATAAAATGCTCCAGACAACACATCTTGATACGACCGCAAATGTTGAACCCAAATCAAGTATGGTCACAACATTCAAGCTTATTACAGCTCTGTATTTGGATTGTGATTTAAAATTTAACACAGTAAAGGTTTCTGAAACGAATTGAATGTTGTCTATATGAACTTAAAAAAATTTGAAATTGGACATTTACCTGCATTTGCATTATGGTCCAATATCCAAAATCTAAATGCTTGGATAGATTCAGCATATCAAAGAACCCATAGAACATAATTTTGGTTAAACTCAAACTAAGTTTAATTTTGGACCCTTTGGGCCTTAATATGAACCAATATGAAAACCAGACCCAAAATCAAAATGCAAATACACAGTTAGATTCAGCATATCAAAGAAACCAAAGAATTCAATTATTGTTGAAATCAAACATAATTTTATTTTGGACCTAAAAAGACCTCAATGCGGACCAATTTCAAAAAGGACACAAAAATTCAAAATAGGGTACATGGTTAGTTTTGGCATATCAACTAAATAATTCAATTTTTTATGAAATCAAACAAAGTTTAATTTTGGACCCTTTGGACCTCAATGTGGACCAATTTAAAAACGGGGCACAAAAATCCAAAATCACAATATACAGTTTGATTCAGCATATTAAAAGACCCAACAAATTCAAGACTTTGAATTAAACCCCATTGAAATTGGTTAAAAAATAAGCAATTTATACAAAAGGTATTGTTTTTTGCCCTTTTTTCCTTTAGAATGGAGGTATGGAACCTTGTGCTACAATTTCATAGAGATCCACACACTTATACACAAGTTATTGTCCTGAAACAAGAAAAATGCTTGTTTTTGGCCGAGGGACAACGACAACAATATAATTTGCAGTTGTATAAAAACTAAAAAATTTCAATCAGTCTATGAACCATGAAAATGATGTCAAGGACAATGGACACATGAAACAGACGACAGCAACTTTGTTAACATAAAGTATTTGTGTATAAGGTATGAAGAATCAAAGTCATCTACCAACAGAATATAAAGCTAAATGCAAATAGTTTCCCCCGTTACTGGATTGTAATCCCTTTGACTTGCATTTGCAGGTGACACAAAAAAATAAATCTTCATGGTAAATTTTACCCCAAATTATAACAGATATCAATATTTAACATTGGGAACCAATTTTGAAAAGCATATCATAACTTGTATATCAAATTTTGTGAAAATGTTTCTCAAAATTTATTTGTGATTTCTTTTTCAAATACCAAGTTTTCTACCACTATTTCCCAAATTTTACATAAAACACAAGGGATCTTCCTTTTATATTTATTTCAATTTAGCACATAAATTTTTTAAATCAGTTGAGACAATCTTGACTTATCGTATGACAGAAGTATTGACAGACAAACAGAGAGACTACTGTATCGGGCTCATGTCATCTACTGGGCCCTAATAACCAACATTTTCTGTCACAAAACGATATACAATCAATTTATGACAACTTAAGTTGTAACGTAGAGGCAATAACCTCTTTTTGGGCAGCAATAAACTCAGTAAATAGATATGAAAATTTAATTCTTAAATTTGAGAAATAAATTAATGGAACACAACTGCATCTTTTCTACAAAAAAAAAATAGCAAATTTTGATCCCAGTGTTACAGTTCACATTTTTAAAAAATCCATCTATATATCTGCAAATAACAATTGCACAATTTTGACACCTCAAGTTGTATTGTCTAACTTCATGTTACTTCTTTTGTTCATTACTTCACATCTCTCATTACATCTTGGTAGTTTTAAACCTTCAATTCACTAGTTTAAACTTGTTCCTGAAAGAAAAAGCACATATATTATTGTATAAGTAAATGTTGCAGTGTAAAAAAAAATAATGCATACATTAATGAGACATGGAAGAAAATACCAAATCTAGTTTTTATACATTTTGTACATCTCTTGTTGTTATATTTCATAGTATTTTCTGATATTTTTATGTAGCAATCTCTTTACATGTATGCTGACTTGTGAATTGTGATGCAAGTTTTGTCATTTGGCAGAGCTAAAATTTCATATTTCATAGTATTTTCTGACTTGTGAATATGCAAGTTTTATCCACTTCAATGGCAGAGCTTAATGTAAAATAATTCAATATAAAACTTTATTCCAAAATGTTAATAAAATGTTTCGCTGAGCGCAGCCAGATACGACCACAGAGGTCTAACCCTGAACAGTTGGGGCAAGTTTGGACACAATATTCAAGCTTGATACTGTTTGAATTTTTGACATAATATAGGTTTCTGACACAAAATAAATGTGGTCAAAGATCTTAAAAAATGGGACATTTAATTTACCTAGTATGGTCTGATATCCAAAATCTAACAACATGGTTAGATTCAGCATATAAAAAAACACCAAAAATTTAATTTTAGTTGAAATCAAACAAAGTTTAATTTTAGACCCTTCAAACCTTAATATGGACTAATTTGAAAACAGGACCCAAAATAAAAAATCTAAATGCACAATAAGATTCAGCATATGGTCTGAGGACACAGTTATCGTCCTTCGATTTTCGTTGTCTACAAATATAGTCCCTAGTGTGGACAGTGTATAACTTGCAAATTTTTTTCATACACTTTCCAAATTTATCATCGGGGTCATCGGACACATTTTTTAAACTAGATACCCTAATGATGATTGTGGACAAGTTTTAGTAGTTTCAGAGGAGAAAATTTTTGTAAAAGATTACAAAAATTTACGAAAAATGGTTGAAAATTGTATATAAAGGGCAATAACTCCTTAAGGGGTCAACTGACCATTTTGGTCAAGTTGACTTATTTGTAGATCTTACTTTGCTGAACATTATTGCTGTTTCCAGTTTATCTCTATCTATAATAATATTCAAGATAATAACCAAAAACGGCAAAAATTCCTTAAAATTACCAATTCAGGGGCAGCAACCCAACAACGGGTTGTCAGATTCATCTGAAAATTTCAGGGCAGATAGATCTTGACCTGATAGACAATTTCCCCCCCCCCCATGTCAGATTTGCTCTAAATGCTTTGGTTTCAGAGATATAAGCCAAAATCTACATTTTACCCCTATGTTCTATTTTTAGCCATGGCGGCCATCTTGGTTGGTTGGCGAGGTCATCGGACACATTTTTTAAACTAGATACCCTAATGATGATTGTGGCCAAGTTTGATTAAATTTGGCCCAGTGGTTTCAGAGGAGAAGATTTTTGTAAAAAGCTAACGACGACGGACGACGACCGCCAAGTGATGAGAAAAGCTCACTTGGCCCTTTGGGCCAGGTGAGCTAAAAAGGCAGGACAGAGATTACAACTAAAAAAAAATGTAGGACAAGATTTTTCATCTTAGCCCCCCATAATAAAATGCTTCGCTGAGCGCAGCCTGATATGACCGCAGAGGTCGAATCCTAAACAGTTGGGGCAAATTTGGACACAATATTCAAGCTTGATACTGTCCGGATTTGGATTGTGATCAAAATTTTTGACATAATATAGGTTTCTGACACAAAATAAATGTGGTCAAAGATCTTATAAATCCATTGTGCAATACTGTGCAATTGAAGATTTCTTGCTATTGCGCAATACTGTGCAATTGAAGATTTCTTGCTATTGCCCAATACTGTGCAATTGAAGATTTCTTGCTATTGCTCAATACTGTGCAATCATTTGAAATTTCAAAAATTTTGAACCCCCCAAAAAAAATCCCCATAAACTTTTTGAGCCCCCTCCCCCTTGGACATAGATTTGAGGCTTACATATATATATATGATCTATAAATAAGTCTAAATTGAAAACAACGTTCAAACCTATGATTGCTTAATATATATATATATATCAGTCAGGGGAATTACTGAAATGAGTGATCTTAAAATCACTGATTCAAGGAACATTTTATCCAGAAATGTTGGAAGTAAGAGTTGTCTTTCTTTAATAATCACCTATTTTAAATGTAGTTTAAATAAATCATTAGACTAAGTGATTTAATTTTATTGTAGCTTTTATTGCCTGAGATCACCCCCAGTTTTTTGGTGGGGTTCGTGTTGCTTAGTCTTTAGTTTTCTGTGTTGTGTCTTGTGTACTATAATTTGTCTGTTTGTCTTTTTATTTTTTATTCATGGCGTTGTCAGTTTGTTTTCGATCTGTGAGTTTGACTGTCCCTCTGGTATCTTTCGCCCCTCTTTTTTAATATATAATACTAATAATCCAGGGACAAATTATGTTGCTAAAATTATCAGAACCAACATCTGTGTTCATATATAAGATGACCGGTTATGTCAGGTGATGACCCTGTACTGAATCTGGGATAATGACATGAAAATTACTTGTTTAAGTGGATACCTCTAGACTATTTTCTTCCAAAAAATCACTTCTTTAAGTACATTATTTGTATTATTATTGTGATTACCACCACTATTGACTTATTTCAACACCCCCAAACAGTAAAATTTTATTACAATTATAATCTGTATTATAAAACCTTAAATTTTACAAGAAAAATACTCCCACTACTGGGAAAAATCTGTTAAGAATTTAATAGTTTTTTATGTAAAGACTTCATTATAACATTTTTTTCAACAAATATAGAATTTACAGCTGAATGATTTCAATAATTCCCCCGACTGTATATATATTATAGACTTTATAGTAACAATGTTGCATTTTTTTATGATTAAACTAATCATGTTAATGAACCATTGGATGTAGTCCAAATATAAAATTTAATAAAATAATCCCATTAACTAAGATACAAATATACATGTACATAGATTTTGAAAATTACTATCAATAGTGTAAACACATATACATATATTAATACCCCATTTAGTTTTATTCAAAATTACCTCAGGAAATAGTTCCTTGTGTTTCCTCTCATTATCAGGTATAGATCTAGCTGGAATGTCAGACCTTTTTAATAGGACAATCCCTCATACAAAGGAGAACCAGTCCTACTGTTCTAGTGGGGAACCTTGGACCTCTCACGTCAAATACTGGTAGACCACTTCTGAAAGACAATTCAACAATAAACATTGATTTCAAAAATTGAGATAACACTGATTCAAAGTGAGGTCACTAAATAGTTTTTTAATCCAAACAAATTTTAGATCTAAAGGAAGTTAAATACATGGAATATTAACAGTAACAATTTTTAGACCTGCTAACTTTCAAAATTTTGATAATCTATTATATAAACCATGATAAACAGACATTCAAATGAGTTAAAAGGATATTTAAGCACAAACATACTCATTCAAACAATATTTTACTAGTAGATTAAAAACAATTATGACAATATACAACGCAAGAGGAGCATTGGCCAATTAGGTCATAGATCTTTCACTTAAAATCCACTAGGGAGATTTTGAAAAGTTGGCAGGTATGAATTTTACTGAAACATACACGTACAAGTCTGTAAATTTATGCTTATTTCCACAATGTCCCTTCAGAAAAATTATTTAATATTCTGCACTTTGACCTGATTACTGTGATATCCAGTGGCAAGTGTTTCATAAATATTCAATAAAAACAAATTTCAAATAAATCTTGTTAGACCTTATGGGTTTTGCTCATTGTTGAAGGCTGTCATCTACATCTACATCTGCTGTGCAGTGATCTATAGTTGTTAATTTCTGTGTCATTTGGTTTCTTGTGGAGATTTGTCTCATTGGCAATCATACCACATCTTCTGTTGTTTTACAAAAATAAAAAGGCCAGAAATTTAACTGGCACAGGGAAATGTTTACATGTTCGATAGGGGTTCAGATTTTGCCTTACAAAATTCTGTGCCTTAAGCCACTAGTCTGGTAAAAATTGATAAAAATTTAGTTAAATTTTTTTTAGGGTCTTATGAAGGAAAAATGTTGAAATTTCTGGCACAGACTGCAATGGGCACACAGACATGACAGACAGCCTGAGAGCCCTAAATAAAATTGTTCAATGGGTATTTTAACTTGCAGCAATACTTTTTTTCCAAACACATGGCATTTATAGTCCCAACTTCCACTTTATGTAGCTGTGCATGCCTCTTTCTAAATGACACTTATCCCCCTTTTTTTTGTTGGGGGGGGGGGGGGGGGGGGGGGGGGGGGGGGAGGGGGGTGTTCCAACCGTAACATAAAGAAACTGGCACCATTAAACACCAAGGTCTTCTCGTTTAGGACATGTTTTGAGGATCACTGTCTCTCAAAATGCTATTTTTTGAGCCCCCCTGGCAAAGGAGTTTCTGGTCCCCTTGAGTTTCACATCATAAAAACACAACTTGTACAACTCTATCTTCGGGGAAAATAGAGTAAATTACTTTTATTTTATCTTCAATACCGACAACAAAGGAGCAGCATGTTTATTGTTCACTTAAACAGCTTGCTAAGTTGCTTTTATTATTTTTTTTGGCTAGAGTTGTGAGTTTGACACAAAAACAAGGGCCTAGCGGCCACTTCAAAAGCCTGCCCATTTCTGGGCGATTAAGTGTCGTCCATAAAATTTATACCACACGAATCGGGCGAGTTTGGGTTAACTTACTTTCAATTTGGGCAACTTGAAATTACTCTACTCACCTGTACCGTGGCTTTCTGTGACACACTACCATCTTCGAAGCGGCGAAGATGAACGAAAATGCGTAACTACGCATGCTCGAGATCGTTCATTTCAAAAATAAAATTAGCCCATACCGGACGGTATTGTCAAGATTTTCAATAACGGCCGGGTACCAGTCTACTCTCTGTAGAACAGCGCTTTCCCGCCGTCCATAATTTTTCCCGCGTCAATGGAGCCGTAATTATGAAAAGCGATGTAAAAGTAATTTTATGAAAACTATTGCTCTAAGATTGTTATAAACGATGTTTTTACTACAACTTTATTTAAAAATACAACTTTTAACCTTGAAATATAGTTTTTTTTTTATCTTTCTTGTCTTTATAAAAAAAAAAATGAAAATAATAAACCCATTGCTACTAGATTTATAAGCGCTTTTGTTTTATCTTTGTCAAGTGAAATGCATAACTGATTCTTAACCAGGTTGGCAAGTATTTCATGCAATATTTAGGACGTCTGAAATTTAATGTACAATAAATCTGTTGCTCAGTGGGTCCTACAAAGTAAAAGATCTGTGATGAATGGCTCAAAATTGAGGTTTTGCTAAGTGCTGGGAAAGGATGATTTGTAGGATAGGAAAAAAATCATTGGGTCACCTACTTAGGGAGCTACCATTTGATTTTTATGGGGGGGGGGGGGGGGGGGGGCTAGGATGAAAAATTTTGTTCTGCATTTTTTTTTAGTTGTAATCTCTGTTCTGATTGAAAGATGTATGAAAAAAACTCAGGCTGACGTTTAACAAATTTCTCGAAAGTACTAGTATGCAACATTTTACATGAAAATGACGAACTAGATAATTAGTAAACACGTTAAATAAGTTGGTATTACAGTACTAACAAGCTTATGATCCTGTATCATTTTTTGACATCCGTTTTAAGTATTCAAATAATGCGTTTAATTCAGTTTGCTTCATGACCTTCATTCCCGCCAAAATCGCCCTTTTGGCGCCGTCTTTTGACATTGTCAGTGCTCCTCAGTATTGTGACGTTACTATGGACCTTTGACGTTCTACACAATCAACAAGATTTGTGTGTAGAAGCCATAAATTTCCCTTTGGCAGCAAGAGGGTTAATATTGAACATAGTATTACAATTGCCTACGTTTATGTGATTGGATTTCATCACGTCATTCATTGTTCACAAACGTTATTTTTGCACTAGCACTGACATTTCAACAAGTCAACAGTTCAAACTTCTTCTGGACAAAAGGTATGGTATATATTGAATATTTTTAAACTGAGAAAATTGTCGCATGGCTAATTCAAAACACATATCCTAAGTAGGAAAATACGCGTTACACATTGGCGGATCTAGGGGGGTCCGGGGGTTGGAACCACCCCCCCCCCCCTTTTATGGGACGATCAATGAATTTGAATGGGGACATATATTTGGAACCCCCGCCCCTAACCTTTTATCCAGTGTTGGGAAACCTCTTTTAAAAAATGGCTGGATCCGCCCCTGGTTACAGAACTTTCTGTAAATGCCAAAATTAATTCCATGGCATTTGTAAAATACTAGTATTAATGGAGACGCTTGAATATTCATATTATTACTACTTGACCAAACGTTATGAAATAATATCAATCAATACTTGATATTTGAGAATTATAAATCCTGAATGTTTCTGAACATATGATAAGGAAAAGGAGTGTGGGCATCGGCGGATCCAGGGGGAGGGGTCCGAGGGTTGGAACCCCCTTTTTTTTTTGGCGATTAATGCATTTGAAAGGGAAAATAAATTTGGGAAACCTATCTCCTGATTTAGATCCCCTTTTTAAAAATTGCTGGATCCGACCGACACATGCTCATTTCCTCAAATCCTGTGTTTTTGTCACACAGTATTTTTTTCCGATCTTTTCCCACTTCCCACTTCTTTCTCTTCTGTCCCGATCCCACTTGTTCCTATTTTGACCGGTTTTTTTTTTACTGATGCTTCATTTATTTGTGATACATTTTGATATTAGTCCACCATTGTCCCAGGTGCCAACAAACTTATATAATCCCGCCACATTGACTGCTATATATTGTTTATTATTTTTCTTGTTTGAAATGTTTATAATAACATTTTAGTTACCTTTGGATTTTTAGTTTCAGCCATGCTGGATCTATGCGATCACTCTGGTTTTGGAGATGGTGCAAAATACTAAGTTGAAGACATATCATGAAACTAATTATGTGTTTTTATGACTTGCAGAAACTTTCTACACCATTTTAATCATCACCTGCAAACTTTTGACATGTTATAATTATTATAAAGAGCACATAAATAGACTGATGGTTAAAGCTACATGTGCATGAAATATTTGTCACTGGCAAACACCAATACTTCGAGGTTGATGGATTTAATTATCAGATTTTGCTTTTTTTATTTAGGAATAAATTCTCAGAATGATTAACAGCATAGAAGACAGCTGCTGAAATGGGAACGTACGATGTGAAAATTAAAGACCTATATACAGAAGGATGTATTTTAATATGGCATTCATCAGAAAAGACAATATTTAATCATAAACCATGTAATTCCGAGTTTCGTACAATTACCAAAACATAAAAGATGGATGCTTGTAATGAGCTCATATTAGAACTAGGGAGTCCTCTGGAATTACCAATTTATATGTAGCAAGACACATCATATGTGAGACTGAATTGAGGAAAAGACACCAGCCAGGAAACTGACATTCTATAAAGCATTCCAAAGAAAAGATGGCAAAGGGGGGAGAGCAATAAAACATGATACAAGCAAAATTAAGTGTTTCTTTGATTGTTTTATTTATGAACCTTAATTACAAGGGTCATAAAATAATCAAGGGGTTATATAGTACAATTGTATCCTAAGTTTCTGCTGAATTTAACTATATTTTGTACTTAATATATATCAACAGAAATATTCTTTAAATAATTTAAAATGTGCAAATCTTATTCCACCGTTATATAAAAAAAATGTAGTGGTGCTTGCAGGCAATATTTTATGAAAAATTGTTTTCAAATTCACCAAAAACTTGCTACATGTTTGCCAGCTTTTACATAAATAAAAAAAAACTTAAATGTCACTGGTACATCCATATGAAATAAAGTCTGCTGCTGCTAAAAATCAAGATTACAAACTATGTTTCTAAAAGTAGATTACAACAATACTGAACTCTGAAAAATTTTAAATAGCGGGGAAATTTCATAAACATCTGGCAAAACAAAACGCTAAAGCACATCAAATAGCAGAACGAATGGAAAACAACCGTCATATTCTTAACTTGGTAAAGGCATTATCTTAATTTTCTCATAATAATCCTCCCAGTATTTCAAGTATTCTTACTCTGAAAGGAAAATATGAAAGAAAAATCATTTGCAACTTTACAAATTATCGGCATGAAAATGATTGACATTTTTGTCACAGACTTCATATGTTTATTTGACAATAAAGATTATTATATTAAAACAATTGTTATGATAAATAAAAGAAATTCCAGTTATGATAAAAAAAATAAGGAGATGAGACATTGTTTTATGTTAATTACAATACATTGCCTAACATATTAACATATGGAATCATTAATGTCAACATGTTTTAAGCAATAGCAAAATACCAAAAATGAACAGTATTGAAGATTCTTATCTTGTTTGATATTTGTATAAATTGTGCGGTTTTATACACATTGATATTGTAAAATATCAGCCGCGAACCACAATGTAAATCTCTCTGGTGTCGATTGCGTATTTTTTTTTTTAAACACAGAAAGACAGTCGCAATCAAAATCAAGGAGTAAACAAAGACTCATAAAACCAAAGTGCATTTACAACAACAGTTAAAATACATAAAAAGAAACACCAACTCGACTTAAAACCGGGAATGAATTCATGTGCTTCTAAAGGGTAAACAATTCCCTTGAGAAAATCCGATAAACTGATTATCTTGCTTCATTTTTGTTGTTTTTCCCTTCACTTTAATAGTTTTTTGATAGACGAAAGTAAGCTTGATACTTTTCCTCAGTCATTTTCACGTCGCTAAAAAGTCCTGCTCAGCAGAGTGATATAGTCGAAGAGAAAAACCATAAGTTTTAATATGTAACCAGCTAAACAAGGATTATAATAATATAGTCACAGAATTATCCAACCTATTTTTGGATACCAATTGTACTCAGATGCACATGTGTCAAAATTTCTCTAATGATAGAGGTCAACACTGAACCAGCGATGTCTACACAAGATACAAAATATAAAAAAAATAAATAAAAAAGAGTCATCAACATGTCACAATATACCATACTATACTTACTTAGTTTATAAGTTTTCAGTTCCCAATATTTTTTGAAACAATATGCATTCAGATTAAAAAGATAAACCACACCAAATCGACTGCTACAGCTATACCTAAAGAAACAACTATTTTTGATATATGGATAAGGTGCGCACTAAAAAGTAAGTATTTACTAAAAAAAGTAAATGACAAACATCAGTACAATAATAGTACTAATAAAATCGGTACAATTACAATACTGACAAAATAAGTACTGAAACATTACTGACAAAATCAGTACAGAAACATTACTGACAAAATCAGTACTGAAACATTACTGACGAAGTCAGTACTGAACTCGTACTGACAAAATCAGTACTGAAACAGTACTGACGAAATCAGTACTGAAACAGTACTGAAAAAAACAGTACTGAATTTATAGAATTAGTTACGGTACTGTTATTGTATAATAATGAACAGTACTGAAATAATAGAAAGTATAACATTACAAATTTTTAGTCTCACCAAACAGTACTGATATGTACGAGGGTAGAAATGTACCAAAAAAACGTGGGTAAATTCTTGGTAGTGTACACCTTTTATACTACACGAGGCGTGTTTGAGTTAACTTTATGGATAAGTCGGAGAAACATTCCATTCTTTATGCTGTTATGTCATTGGCTGCTCGATACGTACAGAAGCTTCTTAGAAAAGTTTCATTGCAAATGTTATGCTCATCAAGCGGACCTTGCTCGGCTTCAGTGTACTCGTTTTCTAATTG